ATGATGGGATCCGTTGTCGGTGAAGAGATGGCTGTTGATTGGGTTCTTCAGTCACTTCCTAACTCGTATAGTGAGTTCGTAAGAGAGTACTATATGATGAACCACGACGTGACCCTTATTGATCTCACCTATATGCTTATTGCTGCTGAATCAGCAATGGTTTGGCGCAATAGAAAAGCAAAGTTGATTGGTGAATCTGCCTTCAAGACCTCTATGGATATAGACAATGGCAATGAAAGACATGCAATGATCGAAAAGTTTGATCATAAGAGAAAGGCGATGTCTGAAGTAGTTCCATGTGTTGTTCCAAAAGAGTCAATTTGCTTTTATTGCCAAGAGAAGGGGCATTGGAGACGAAGTTGCCCTATTTACCTAAGAGATCTAAGAGATGGGAGAGTCAAAAGTATGACTACGCTTCAGGTAAAATCCACTATCTAACTCCGTTAAGTTCCTATTCATTGATTCTTAATACATGATGTGATAAGATTGCATTTGAATGTTTTGCAAGGATCGGTGAAAAGAAAGGAAGCTTGATAAGAGAGCAAGATGAATCTAATCACAAGAGATGGATCTTGATCGCATGGACTTGAAGATTGGATTTTGAGCTTAGATAGTTATGATAGAGTTGTTAGAAATTTTCCTTTTACATAGTTTTCAATAGATTTTGCATTGTAAGGACAAATGTTTTTCCGCTGCTTTTATAAATAAAATAAATTTTGTTTGACTTATTTATTTATTTGTTTACTTCCTTGCAATGAAATCGTTATGAAAATTGATGTTTGCATATTTCTACAACGAATGGATATGATTCTTAGTTATGTTATTTATGGAAATGTCGAGAATTTACCAAATAGGGAGAGTTTCTCATCGCCCAAAGTTTCAATTGGACAGAAATTTGGAATCACGCAACTTGGTTGCATGATGAATGAGAAATTTCATATTTGAAATTAGACAAATTCGTTGACAAAGTGTCAAGTGAAGGACTAGGAGATCGAGCACACAAAGTTGTGTGTTGATCAAGTTCACCATAAAAGTAACAAAGATATTCGTCATGATTTACTAAAGGTTTAGTAAATATGATTATACTTACAAGATTAAGTGTAATTTTGAATTGATTAAAGGGTTTAGATCAATAGTAGAACGAATAAGAAGAATCAAGTAGGCAGAAAAATAAAAGTTTCTCCATTCTAAGAAGAAGGGAGAGTAGCTTTTATGCTTTATAATGGGTCTTAATGATTAAGAACCATATCTCAATTGATCCTCTAGTGAGTCTTAGTACAATTGTATGTTTAAGAAGAGGAATCAAGGATTGAAGAAATGGTTAAATCAAGAAGTCTATCATACTTCGTTCCAATAACAAGTCTTAAAGTTAAGATTGTGACAATGAGTGAAAAGTATTAAAGGTTTATAACATTCATCAAATGTGGAAAGTTGTGATGTCTTGAATAAGACAAAGACCGACTAGGACCAATTTATGAAGTGTTTTGATAAAAACTACACTAACTCTTGAATATTTGTTTGTCAAGAAATGGTTATTGACAAAAGAATCTTATATGTCAAGGAGTTAGTGGGAGTCTTAATGGTCTTGAGAGGTTTCAAGAACAAATCAAATAAACCTTATCGATCATCACTAGCACACGAGTTGAGGTTTACAACCTATCGTGCTGACATTATTTTGTTTCTGTGCCATTTCCAATTGAGTTAATTATGCATGTGAGTTCTATGAGTTCTCATTTTGAACGTATAAAAGGTAAAGCACCTTGATCAATGAAAGGTACATTGATAGGAAGAAGGTGAGATGCTTAACTACTTGGAAGACGTGGTGGGCAGCTGTGCTACCATAAGGCAAGAAATCAAGATTAAGAAAGTTCAGTCCATATGAGTTTGAATTTGTCGTAAACTTTGGTTTTAACAAATTCACATGGATAGGACCAAATACACCATTTAAATCTAAGTGTCATAAGATTTCCTCCTTCATGAAAATGATTGTGAGGAAATGCTTTCACTGAGAAAGATTTTAAGAAGATAGTGATTGTAAAATTGCATTCTCGAATTCAATCGTGGTTACGATACCCCTTTCCATAATTTGAATTGTGAGGTTTGGCAATTAGTCTTAATTATTAAGACACACATACGAACTATCTAAGGCAAAGGTGTACAAGTTCAAGAAGCCTTGATAAAAGTTTATCAAAGCACTAAGTATTAGAAACATGGGCTTAAGAAATTCAATAAGTATTGTCTTTCTGAAAGTTAAGATGTTTATGAATACATGTCGAAGCTAGTGGGAGCATAAGTGTTATGTTTTATAGTAATCATCATGATAGTGGGACCATAAAAGTTATGATTGTATGATTATTATGGAAAGTTTTGCAAGTTGGCAATATTAATTATAGAAAACAAGAGTTATACCTTGCAAAGTCGTAAGGGTTGTATAGTTGTTTTGCTATAATTAAGGGAGAGAATATTATGCTTCATTTCAAATCTAAAGGCTTAGGTTTAGAAATGTTAATAAATTTAGTCAAAGGTACATAGTGTGTTCTTAAAATTTTGATTATGATTACGAAATTCCTTTTCACAATTCGAATTTTGAGAACATAGCAAATAAAACATTGTGCATCGTGTCCCATACGCTTCGGGTATAGGATCGATTGCAAATGCTTTAATGTTTGACCATTCTAAAATTTTCCAAATGTCTAGCGCATTTAGAGGGAAAAGGAACTAGAATTGGTTTTGACTAAAATAATTAAACAATTATCAAAGGACAATCCAAAGTTCGATGAGGATTGGTTGCTTGTGAGTAGTTGGAGGAATGGTATTGAATGGACCATATCGACATTATTATGAATAGATAAGATTCTATTAAGAAATGAGTTGTCATATGGAACATATGGAAGCGTGTCCATACTGGGAAGTAAATATTGAAAATTTATGACTAAAATTAGAAACTTTTATGCAAAAGGATGTTCAAAGAAATGTACTTTGAGTGAGAGACATCATATCTAAGGAATTGTCTTGTAACAATCTCTGTTAGAGGACTTTGTAATATCATTGGCAATAGTCTTTGTGACTTTGGTGCAGTGACATTACGAAAGAATCATTGCATAAAATGTTAGAATCTAGCATATTCTATAAGTAGCAAGAATTTGATATTCTTTCACTTATGAAAATGGATTTGGAATTGTGAAATGAGAATGGTTGGAAATGTGTTCAATGTGATCTATTTCACAAAGTAAGAACCATAGGTAAACATTGTGTGCATGCTAGGAGCATGGGACAAGTGTAATAATTCAAGTAAGAAGTTGATTACCTGAAACGAAAAATAATGAGTAATCGATATGGTGATAAATAAAACGTGTTTTATTTATGCTCAAAGGGTTGAGGCCATATGGGATTAGTATTATTCTTGTGTTTCACTTTGCATGTTTTGACTTCCAGAATAATTGAGTTTATTAAGAATAATCAAATTATTCGAACGAGCCACAGTCGTTCATATGGTGGAAGTAGATATGAATGAAGACTGTTGTGAATTGGTGTGTGGATTGTCTAGAAAAGTATTAGACATAAGAAAATGTTTGCTGCAACGTTCATGAGTGCTTATGAATATGAATTTGAGCATTAGATTAAACCCACACTCACTTGGATCACTCCATGAGTTGTATCACAAGTGATTGGTGAGACGATAACATCTTATATTGTTGAAACCGAGATGTGTGAGTTGTATCTTGCAAATCGGTTGCACATTGATAATATGTAAACGCACCAGTAACTTGGTGTTATAAAGCATATTTTTGTGTGTGATTCGGTGAGTAAATGCAAGCAAGCATTGTATCAAAGTTTATCCGTTCCTTTTATTCAAAGTAGAATAAAAGCGATATCTTTTGGGCCCCTCGATGGTTTAGTGATGATAAACGTAAATGCTCGGCCGGGCTAGGGCTAATTTGATTTGTTCAATTAGTCAGTCGACATAAATCGGAAATTGAGATATAGTACAAAAAGAATGATTAGAAATCATATCTCATATGATATCTAGAATGGAGGAATATATGATCCCTTATCTAAGGACATGTGTATCTGATATGATCAGAGTTGACAGCGGCTTTGGAAAGCTACGATTGCAGATTAGGATCTGAAGTCATACGCATAATAGTTATTAGACTTATCCAAGTGGGAGACTGTTGGATTAGTGTCTAAGTCCATAACTATTTTGGTATGTACTTGACCCGATGGTGCATGGTCCTTTTGGGTTGCCTTCACCAAAGCAACTTGATTGGAGAAATATATATAGAGAGAGAGGATAATATGATTTATTAATATGTTATAAGAATAATATATTAAAGGAGATATCATATTTGTCTAATTAATATTGGTCAATAATTAATTAAGAATTAATTTTGTGATCAAGTGTAATTAATTAAACTAGAGGGGCTGAATTGTAATTATGTGATAGTTACAAAAATAAGGTAAGGATTATCTTATTATTAGGTTGGACGAATTTAAGGTGATAAGGCCTTAGAATTCGACTATGATAAGGATTCAAGGATTATCTTATGGGTTGCTTTGTGGATAAGCAACTAGATAAGGATAATGACTGAAACCCTATCTCTACACCTATATAAAGACCCTAAGGCTCATGAATTCATGTATCTCTTCCCAAGAAGTCCTAAGGACGAATTCTAACCTCTCTCCTCTCTCTTTATACCTTCTCCATTTGCTCTTGGTGTTTGTAAGCCATTAGAGGAGTGACACTTGTGACTCTAAGCATTCAAAAGTCAATTCAAGGAGGAATTAGGATTGTTATTACTCTATAACAATCAAGGTATGTTCTTAAACCCATTCATATGTTAATATCGATTTTATATACTAGAATTAGGGTTTATAGTCTTGGATTCAAAGCATGTACAATAGAGAAACCTAGATCCAAGTATTAGGGTTTGTATGAGCACATAGGATGTCTTATGACCAAAACCCATCATATTCGACATAGAAAATACACCTGACCAATGAGTAGCATTTCTGAGCTAAAGACCGATGGTATTGGAGGCCCTTTACAGGTTAGAATACTACGCAAATTGAAGCACGATTTAAGGCGCTATGAAACCTGGTATCTAGCTGTCGATAGATTTGTAAGTCATCTTCAAATACAATTTTGTAACAACTATGTATCAATTTCTACATTAAACATACCGTTAAAATAACAAATATGAAGCCTTACCTTATATGATTTTCTTTCGTTAACAGGGGGATGCCATACAGATTCTTGGTCAACGAACTAACCAGAGCTACATCGAATCTGCTCTCAACCTTTCGCAGTACTACACCGTATCGGATTATAGCTGCCCCATGTTAGACAAGTATAAAAAATTCCTACAAAATGACTTATATATTGATGTTGGCCTTATGTCTATGATAGAACAGATTCCGGACACACTGACAATACCGAAAAACTGGTTTCATTTTGTCTCAAAGCCGCAACTCATAGAACTTGGGGACACACCATCTTATTACCCAGGTACATACATCCTTTCCCACCTGATCCAATGAACACCTCTAACACAATTAAATTTACTTTTCTTTAGACTACATTGGTGTCCTCTCAAAGATCAGAGACTGCATCAAAGTGGGTGGTGAGTCATACGTGTTGCTGATTCTAATCGATGAAAGGTACATATTGCATGTAACAAAACTTATTTCGGACTTCGCTTCCACCAGCCTAATATAAAACACATTATCAATACCATTAGTGGTAGTGAACTCGTGATCAATTTATGGAAACAGTGCATAACCAATCCACAAAAAATCGACCGCAACTCCTTGCAGCCACCGCCAGCAACAACAATTGTCGTTGTGACGAAATGAAAACCTTCCATATCCAACGCTATGATTTTCATACACAACATCATACACACACTACTCACAACTGTCATGTATTGACCACAAACATTTCTAACATGTGAATTATTTATATATAGGGGCTCTACGTCACGGTTCATCACATGCTACACATGTCTATGTCAACCCAGACATACCAGAAACAACATCACTTATAAACCTGTAAGCCACATACACAAACATTAGACATCATGTCCAATAAAGTAAAGACTGTATACTAATAACAACATGCTGTCAGATATACAGGTCCCTCAAGACCGATGCCACCACTAGCAGGAATACCGTCTACCCTACATGACATGAGAAAGAAAACCAGATCTGAGCTGCTGGTAACATTTCTTCATTGCTAACTCTTTTCATAAACAACAATAATTTCACACATTGATATGAAATAACTTTACTACGACAGGATAAGATGTTCCTGGTGCGTGCATCAATCAAAGACATTGTCTTTCAAAACAGTTGGTACCAAACAACATGCCCAATCTGCAAAGATCCCATCTTTAGAAGGGGCGAAAAATGGTTCTGTAGTGCACATGGACATATTGACAAACCAAAATACATGTAATCGTCTTTAACAAAAATTTAACACATATACCGATTATACGTCCGCAATGCTGACAAATATCCACTGTCCATAGATACAAATTCTTTGTTATCATCACTGATGCAACGGACACCATACAAGAAGCCATATCAGAAACATCGTGTTGCAAACTTCTCAGGTCACCTCTCGACAAATTCATATCCAACAATCCACTGACGAATGGAAACATCCCGCCCGTAAACATAACCAACGAGAGAGGAAATACAAAAACAATGTCCATCCAAATGCTTAGAGCTTCAACTCCAGAAAACATACGGTTCATAATAATTGACCACGACACACTAACAACAATGTCCTACACATCAATTCCAACAACACCAGCTCCAACCAGAATGACAAGGGCACGACAAAACGACACATCACCGGAATCATCTGCAGCCAATCAAAACGTTGCACGTCCTCTATCCTATGACCTTACAGGTATATAAATGCTGCCATACATGGAATTAAAATATGAAACAAAATTTTCCAAATGCAGACTATTAATAGTAACTCAACATCTGGCAGGTGCTACCCCAACAGACAGTCGAAAGCAGATGAAGAAATAAAAGATATGACGCTAAATTAAATAAAAAACTTAAGATTGTCTAAGCTAATATCACCATCTTTTGTAATGTAAGAATACCAATATCACCCTTACGTACGAAAACTCAGACTAAGTTGTTATGCACCTTTTTTTGTATACCGCCTATTCCTCTACATCCTACAAATCACATTACTAAAAAGACAACATTAAAAAAATGTCATCCATCATATATAACATATGCCTACGTAACTAATATCTACAAGCTGAAGTTACGTTCTTCAACAAAAAATTGTGATTCTAATAATCTAAATAAAAAACCACAACATTAGATATAAACAAAGTAAATGAAATTCCATTACATAATGATAAAATTTTATTTAAATGACTATGTTCAATACGTTCTTTAAAAAAAAGAAAACTACCCACCAAAAACCGGCACAGTTAATTTTAAATACAAACACAGCAAATTAACATGAGAATGTCAAAAAGAATATATTGTTTATTTCCAACTGCCCACTACTACTGCCATCAGTATCAAACAGGGACTTTCCATAAGGATTGACATCTAACCACCCACGTTAGATGCAAACATAAATACTGAACCCAACCCCAAGATTTACATCAGCCAAAAAAGGCAAAAAAAAAAAAAAAATCAACACCTCTTACCGGCCACCCTATATGCATCACTTCCCAGGAGAACTTTAAATAACCCACACTTATTGCTAGACAACCACTACATTCAACCCCTATAAAAGGACGTCCCCAAATAAACGACCCTACCACTAAACATCACAAAAAAACCTTGAATACTATCATGCTGAAGGTTACCGAACACCTCCACACAATGAAGACCTCCTCAGGCCATGTTCAAGAAACATTCACAGGAACTAACACCCAAATGCAGACGCTCCAACAAGACGCCCAAGAGGAGCTACCGTACAAAGAGTTGACAATCACTAACCAGGTTATTACCGACATCGACAAGGACACCGTGCTCATGCTTGACATGTTCGACATGATGCAGGAAAACATCACAACAGCCATCAAAATATGCAATAAGATCATCCAAGACCATCCAACACCATCACGAACGCAGGATCAACCACTTCTACAACAACAACCGTTTTTGCATGCGCTTCTGTAATGAAAGATTATTAACTACTTCTTACAACATCCACCACTTTTGTACGCATATATGTAATGAAGCACTATGTAACCACTATATAATCAATGAATATGTTTTTATCCATATCCTATCATAGAATCCATAGGTAATACAATGAAATAATCCAACCACAAACAACATTCCCCTTAACTCAAAACGGTAAACATACGTACACCATCTAACCCCCGTGTACGCGGGGGACTTGCACCTAGTACTAAATTAAAAGGCTTCTATTTTTGAACAAAAAGTACCAAGTTGCTTATACTTTGGGACAAAAAACTATGTTGCTGAAACTTTAGGGACTAATTATGTAAATTCTTTATCTTCTTCCCCAACAAATTTCATCAACAAAATTGAAAGGTTTCGACACTTCCCAAGTATAAAAAAATGGAGGGCTTTTCCAATATCAATTCAATCAGGATAACTTATTTATTTCTCTCACTTCCGTCATGCATATAACGAGTATAGCGACCTCCCTAGCGAGTGCTAGGGGTGGTGTGCTCCATCCTTAGCACCTTTAGCAAGTGAGGTAATGACCCCCACTTCGTTTAGCCTTAAAGTAGATAAATTTATTCGTGTCACAATATTGAAAATCCTCATTAATGTTATATGCCACCTTTCATGCTTTATGTCAACCTAATAATTCTCTATTTTAAATTTTAAATTTTAAAATTCTCACTCTAATTACATTAAATAAATAATTGATTCTTAATTTCAAATTTCAAATTTTAACTTTCACACTCTAATTACATTAAATTAATAACATTAATATATATATATATATATATATATATATATATATATATATATATATATATATATATATATATATATATATATATATATATATAAAATAAGGTGATATAATTTCATGTATATATTTAAATTAACGATTACAATTTTATATAACTAAAAAATATCTCTTAATTAATAGTTTATTTAAAACAATTTATTTGAAATAATTGAATAATTTGAAGTTTTTACTATGAAAATTTAATTAAATTTATAACTGTGGTTCTCACAGTTAATGTAGAAACTTGGATCTAACACTTTACAACACAATGCATTGTGTATAATCATAGTAACGAACGAGAAATTAGTTGAATAAACTTACAGTAGGTTGAAGCATCGAGATGGTGAGTATAGTCAGAAGCAGGATCACGAATAACTTCGAACATGGTTATCAGTGAATGGAAGGAGGGAATGAGAAGCAGGAAAAGATTTGTTTGGGAAGCACGGGGTGTACAATATATAATAATAATAATAATAATAATAATAATAATAATAATAATAATAATAATAATAATAATAATAATAATAATAATAAGATCTTTCAGGTTAAGAAATGTTGTAGTATTCAATGTGTGTGTGTGTGAAAGATAGAGGGATGAACTAGGTTTTGAAGAAGATGATGCTGGTCGATCGTATCTTCTGGTCATTAAGAGATATAGATAGATAGATAGATGGATAGATAGATAGAGATCAAATCATTACTACTAAGTATATTAACTTTATGTCGTCTGTGCGAGGCATGGTAGTAGGGGTATAGGAGACACATAAGGAATCTAGGTGTATGGTTCTATAATATCATAAAATACTCCTATAGTATTTTAACTTTATGTTTGGTCCTTAGAGTTTCTTTGTATATAGGGTTGGTAAGTTTTAGATTTTTTGTTCACCACGACCATTCCCAAACACATGTTAGTCATATCTCGCATATATATAGTTGATCAGACTATATTTATCCCGTATATGATTACATAACTATCTAGGCTTAATCGTAGCGTTTAACTTATCTTATTACTTTTTATATGGTTCTTATTATGACAGTGTCCTAGTATGTATGCATGTACGTACACTTTATAAAAATATTATTATATTTTAAAAGTATACTTCTTAGTCAGAGTGTTTTATCCCCATTTTATTTATAGTTATATATCTTACATGGTTTGATATACTTAGTTCACTATAAACAATGCTCTGATACCAATCTGTCACACCCCCAAACCGAGAAACAGAGGAAACGTCTTGGGGTGGATGACTTCATGTACAATATTATAACAATTGAATAATAAAGATCAAAACATTACAACCATCATATTGATATTCTATAAGTTTTTACATTGTATTTGAATCGTTTGTTTGATTTCCAAATACATATGACAAAAAAATATGTGACGTGATGTGGCTATGCCCCATCTTCAAAAATCAAATCCTTATGAGTACCTGTTTACTGATTTCCTGAGAATACAAGTAGTTTTGAAAAAATGTCAACAATTAAGTTGGTGCGTTCATAAGCGTTTGTATGAGAAAAATCTACCATTTTCCTTGTAAGATGAAAGAGAGTGATTCCAGAAAATTCAATATTTTCTTGTAAAATGAATTGTATATTTAGATACCCTAAGACCGAAAATGTATATTGTTGTACTTGAAAGTAGTATAATGTAGTTTTAATATTTATAAAACCATTTGAATGTATATTTCCAGAAATGTAAGTTGTACTGTATTGGAAAATAATGTACTGTGGTTGTATCAATGTAAAACTCTTTGAATGTATATTTCAGGAACTACCAGTTGTACTGTAAAATATTGTAATGTAGTTTTATTATTAAATAAAATTGGTTGAATGTAAGTTAGCCACATAAATCAAATGTATTAGTTAATACCCCTTGTGAGTTATTATAACCATGCTATCGACCTAGATGACCTGTTACGACGTTCTTTAGGCGTCGGAGTGATACACTATTTGTCACCCCAGACCTGTCGGTCTAACTGTAGCTAACGGATTAGGTGCGAGATTGTCAGTCCCGTATAGATCTATACACGAGTGTCACGCTCTCCCTCAAAAGATTTTGGTTATAATACATGACTTTAGTGTGTACTCTGGTAGATACGGTGAAGCCAAATGTCTCACAAAATTGTATTAACTAGTTAAGTCTAGTGTAATGAAAACCCTTTTTCTTGTAAATGTAGGTATTACCCTTCCATAGTGTGTGCATAGCATAAAAAAATTATACTTTTAAATAATTATTTTTTTGTCCCAAAAGGGTAAAATAGTGTGAATGCCCCCTATAAACTATACCTATTATACCTATGTATGTACCATCATATATATATATATATGTTAGAAAATCATCGCGTATTTGCACAAAACTCTTTATGTAAAAACTCACAAGTTTGGTGGTAAAGTTGTTTCATAAATTTAGCATTTTTTTTATAATGAGTAGTGACTAGATAACAAGATGAAGGTGACGATATTCAAGTTAGAACACTTTGAAGGTGGTTGTATCAATGATCTTCTAAAATAATTCTTGAAGGAATGACTCTTCCTAGAAATATTGAAGACATTTTTGGGAATGTTTGATGATGTTCTTGTGAATATGTATGAGGATTTGAAGGTGTATGAACTATTCTTAAGAGAAAAGTGAGAGAGTTTTAATGACGTAAATGAGAAATGGGGAAGTGTTTCGGCCTACCATATATATGGGGGTTGAGGGTGATGTGATGTTTTCATTGGTATGTGTAATATATCACACTGGGAAAAGCACTACCTAAACAAATTGGTGATTTCGGCCTAAGCTCCACTGAAATCACTTTTATCCCACCGAAATCACATGTGATTTCGGTCCTAGGTATGCTTTTTATCAAGTATGATTTCGGTCTTGGTACGATTTCGGCCTAGTTGAGATTTCGGTCTAGGCATGTGATTTCGGTCCATCACAACCGAAATCTCAAGGTATTTGGGTCCCAAAACCGAGAACGACCCTAAAGGCAAGGTGAAATTCATGAATTATGTATTGACTATTTGACTTTCATTTGACTTGCTTGACTTTTGTTGACTCAGAATAGCCGGTTGTCACACTTCCTTTCGAGAAACCAAGGCTACAAAATTTTCCTTGCTTGAGTCCTTCATGATGTCTTTACGAAGAGATTTGGTCTCTTTGTAATTTTGTAGATTTCCAAAAAAAGGAGTTAAGATCCATGACATTGATCTTTTCACTGTTCTTAAGCATATCAGCATGATGTTCCCATCTTTTCCCAAGAGATTCCATAAACTTTAGAACCAACTGAGAAGAATGCTTGATAATTCCCAAATTGTGCATATCATTTACCAAATAGTTAAACCCATTAGAATTTTGGGTAAGTGACTCACATTGTTGAGTGAAGAAATGTCGTATCTCCGATTAATGTTGTTGATGGTTGTGGCTTGAACTTCCACAGTGCCTTCATAAGCCACAGTCACCGTTTCCATCATTTTTTGTGTCGACTCACAATTCTGTACAAGATGATACACATGATAGGAAACAGAGTTTCCTGTGGCCGCTCTAGCTTTCACATCAAGACTAATCAGTTTCTTGTCATCATCGTCACAACTAGTCTCTGGTTTTTGCTTCAAAGGACCAACGGGAGCGTTAGTCCATGGTTTCAACATCGTCACAACTAGTCTCTGGTTTTTGCTTCAACAATTTTAAGCATCTTATAGTCCATGGTTTCAAGAACAACCATAGCCTTAGTTTTCCACATGGCGAAGTTGTGCTCATCAAAAGGAGGATCTTGTTGAGACCAAAAGATTTGGGATTATAAGAAGTCAACATGATAACTTGAGTGTCTCAAAAAACCTACTCTGATACCAATTGAAGGTTTGTATCGATTGAAAACACTTAAAGCATAATTAACAAAGAATATATTAACTAAACCAAATAATGATTAGAAAAAGTAAAGAACACAAATTAATCACAAAGATGTCTTTCACCAAGAAAGGGGTTCTTCTCACAAAGAAAAAAAAATGTCAAAAAGATGGTCACCAAGACGTTCACATTAGGGTTTCACCCTAATGTTGAATATATACTAAACTATACTAGTATATCCCTTTAATCAAGGGATTGTATCTAATCTACATATTAACATATTCTTATCACTAAGATATCAGATCTGCTATCTGTTCTATACATATCTGTATAATTGCCTAATATACAAAG